GAGGTGGGTGATCACTGAGGGCCAGGAGTTGAGACTAGCCCTGGGTCAACATGGTGAATGGCTGCAGTGTGTTCACTGTAGGGTGCCGGCTACGTGGTGATGGATGTGGTGATCTTACTTCATGAGACTCCTAGCCTTTCCTCCGCGCTGCAAGGAGTTAGCGGGTCCTCCCCGGGAAAGTACAAAAGGCCTCCACAAGAAAGACTTGAGGGAGGTAGGGCTTCTTTAAGTGGGACATAGTCTCGGACAGCCAGGAGAATGAATTATCAGTCCCTCAGTAAGTACTAAACTCCTGGTAAATGCCCAGCTTAGTGGGTACTTAGGTATGACAGAAATGTTTCAGTTCCTAGCTGTTTGGTAAGAAGAAACACACACGGAAATGCCACCAAAAATACAAAACCGTCTGCATGTGGTGCCATATGAGTGTCACAGAAGAACAGAAGTTGGGGGAAAAGTGTCACCGGTCTGATAGGGAGGCCTAGACAGGGGCTGGGACGTGTGCGTCAGCCACATCTGAGGGACGGTGAGTTTTGTAGTTCAGCGGACGGGCTTTATGGAGAGAGTGGGAGGTCAGCAGGAGCAGTCATGATGATGGTGCTGGCTGCACCATGGAGCACCTCCCATATGCCGGGGTAGGGTTCCCTTCAGGAATCCAATGAGGCGCAGCCTGCTCCTCAAGTGCACCACCCTGCCACCTTCCACCCTGAGCCAGGGCTGGGCTGCCAGCTTTCCCTGGCCTCACACAATTCATGTAGATTTTCTGGAATACATTTTCCTTGCTACCAAGGTTATATTGTAATGGTAAAAACTGCAACTAATTTTGCACTAGCCTAATGTTCATTGCAATTTTTCTATCTAAAAAGTATGAAGAGGAAAACAGTTACCCATAATCTTACCGCCCTGAGAGAAGCAGCGTTAACCCTTGGTGCACTTTCTTCCAGGGGTTTTGTAGTGATAAGTGTCAGGTAGTGGGTGTGAGTAGCCAAAGCTCATATGGGGCTTTGTAATGAAAAACCCACTGTCAGCAGCACGGCCGGCCCCAAACATGTCCATCGTGAATGGGATGAACTCAGCTGTCTAGTTGGAAAAATTTCCCTTTGCCATTCCACAGAGCAGAGCTGACAGCGTGGACTCAGGCACACTCCCTGAAGTGAGCCGTGCTCGTGCGGCAGTGTAGCCCTGGGCCGAAGGTGAAGCCGAGCCTCTTCTGTGCCACAGTCTCTTCCCAGAGCCCCAGGAGAGCCTCAGTGAGGGCTCCAAAGTGACCCAAAGCAGCTTGTATGGCCTCTGAGCCAAGCCCTGGGCCTGTCTGCTACACAGCTCAGGTGGCCTCTCTGTGGGCCTCCTGTCCATTTGCCATGCTCCCTGACTTGTGCAGACTTCTTCACCCCCTCCATGCCCATAGCTAGAAGCAGCTTTCCAGATGATCCATATGCTGTTTCCATGGGCCTGCCTTACTTCAGTCACAAGGGCTGGGATGACTGGAGCTGTGGCTGGTGGTCTTCACCTTTTTGTTGTATGAAGTTAGAGCTGAGTTACTTTGAGTAGCAGAACATAATGCAGAGAGGAATCTGGATGGAATGACCAGCCCAGCCAGGGCGGGCAGTAGGCGGAAAGTGTTTGAGTTCGGTTGTACTTTGTAAGAAAATGCATGTGCGTATAACCTGGTGCCTGTCTGTATCTGTCATTTATACAATGTGGACTCTGTGCCACTGATAGGAGGAAGCATCCTTTACTGACTACTGTATCTTGAGTACTGCTTACCGTTCATCTCTGTGACATCCCTGTTTTACAGATGAGGACATGGAGTTTTAGCATTTGGGACTGGCGTGACGGGGACTTGCTCCCTGAGCCCAAAGCCCAGGCTCTTTCCACCGGGCCTTCTGCTGTCTTCTTTCTTCCTCACTGGGTTTTGCATTTAGCTTCCATCTTTATTACAAGAGGGTCTTGTGGCCCTCCAGAGGTCAGAGGCTGCTCCTTTGACCATGAGACGGCCATTTCATGTACCTCCCTGAAAAATGGAAGGCAAAGGGGTCATCGTGAGTACAGAGTCCTAGAAAAGCAACTTTCCAGAAGAGATTCCTCAGGAAAACCCTTTCAGGGGCTTCTCTCTGTGCCTTCCCAACTGCCTGGCAGGTGGGCCTCTTCCAGGAAGTGCCAGCATTGAAGTCACTGATTTCCTCCAGGCTTCTTTCCAGATACTCCAGTTGTAGGTGTCCCACAAGCCATTGGGAAGCATTTCTGTATTCAGCTCCTAGTTTTCTAGGCCAGGGGTTCTCCAATTTTAGTGTGTCTAGAAATCACCTGATACTTACCAACACAGCTCGCTGCACCCCCTCCCTCAGTTGGGGCCCACCTCTGAGTGAGCAGGTCTGAGTGGGCCTGAGAAGTTGCATTTTTAACAGGCTCCCAGCACTGCTGCTGGCGCTGACGGGGGAGCCGCACTTGGACTACCACTTCTCTAAGGTTTTTGCCAGAATCCCCCAGACCTGCCTTTCCATGGCCCACACTCCCCTTTAAAATCACCCTGCAGACCACTCTGTGTTTACTTTAACAATTGAGCCAGGCGAAGCAATGGCTGTCGTCTGACGTTGAGTGAGGTCATTGTCCTTTGGCCTCTGAAATCAGAAGCGATATTTGATCTTTCGCTTCGTGTGGCCTGTGGGGCTCACTCTCTGGGGGAACTGGGTGTTTCAGGTGGTGAGAGCGGCTGAGGAGGCTGCGTCCACACTGGCCAGTTCCATCCACCCGGAGCAGTGCATCAAGGTGCTCTGCCCCATCATCCAGACGGCCGACTACCCCATCAACCTTGCTGCCATCAAGATGCAGACCAAAGTCGTCGAGAGGATCGCCAAGGAGTCGCTGCTGCAGCTCCTCGCCGACATCATCCCAGGCTTGCTGCAGGTAGGCCCGCGTGTTGGTGGGGCCTGCCCCCGGCCTGGGTGGGGCTGCCTAACTTGAACTAATGTTTAAGGGTTTTGTGCTCCTCCTTCACTGGCAACCAGCCAGGACCTGTGAGGCCGTGCGGCAGGGACACCTTACAGCCTCCTCTGCGGCTTCCAGCTCACCCCCTCTCCTGAATGCACTGAGAAGACTTTCCTGGCGACTCACAGAATGAACTTTCTGTTTACTATAAACATATTTTGATCATTTTTTTTTGTCCATTCCTTCAACAAACCCTTGTTGCACACCTGCTGTAGCCGCAGCCCTGGGCGAGGTGGGCCATTGAGTGTACATCAAACAATGGTCCTTGGTCTCACGCAGCACACAAATACTTACTGAGACTCTTCTAAGCATGAGACAGTGAGTGAGACAGACTGGCATCAAGCAGCTGTGTTCCACTGTGTGGACGGCCTCAGAAGATTTTCAGCCTACTGTGCAGCCACACAGACAACGACAGGTGTCACCATGGGCTCCATGACAGTAGAGAAGTGGTTCCGGGCTGGGGTGGGGGAGAGAGGGTTCATAGAAGAGATGGGTTCAAGTTGGCCCTTGGCGAGGGAGTTTCACTGGGGAAAGGTAGAGAGGAGTCAGCATCACTTTCAATCATTGCTGCTGTTTGCTGGGTGCTTGGCTTGGGGATTAAATACTTAACTGTTGAGGACTAGATTATTCCAAACCAAGGGAAAGGCACAGAGGCTGAAGAGTCCCAGGCTGTTTGGAGAACAGCAGCAGGTAGCCCCAGCTGGGTGTGGGCCAGGATGAGGCCGACAGATAGATGGAGGCCCAGCTGCAAAGGGACGCGGACATCAGGCTGTGGGACCAGACGGTCCCCAGCAATTCCTGGAGGGTAGAAGGGTTTGCTCACAAGAGCGAGTGATGTTCATTTCTTGAAAGGCGTTTTCACAGGGAAATTTGCTTGACTTTGGGAGAAATGGGAACAAAGCAAGTGCTCTTTCCCCTTCATTGCCTTTTCTCATTCTCTCTCCCCTGCAATGTTTCTTGGGTGGCAGCTTGTTACATGGTGGTGCCTGTGCAGATGCAGAGACCAGTCTGGGACTCGCCACCCTCCTGCTTCCGCGCCCCAGAAACCAAGTTTCTGTTGATGCTAAGTTGTGACCTCTTTGGGGTGAAAGCTGTGTGGATTCCATCGCGGGGCTGAGGTCTATCCTGGTTGTTACTGACAAGTCCAGGGTTGAGCTCGGAGGGCATTTGTGGAAACGCTGATGAGGTGTTGGCTAGGGACTGAATCTTTGATCTGGTTTCCTTTTCGTGTTCCTCTGGCTCTCCAGGGTTACGACAACACCGAAAGTAGTGTGCGCAAGGCCAGCGTGTTTTGCTTGGTGGCAATTTATTCCGTAATCGGAGAAGACCTGAAACCTCACCTTGCACAGCTCACAGGGAGCAAGGTATGTATAGTGTTACCTGGGCTGAGAAGCACACCTGGGCTCTGCCAGCTCGTCCTAAACCCATTTGACTGCAGCTCTGGATTCCAGACAGGTTTTGTTCATTGTGTTTTAGCGGGGCCTTATTTCTCCAATAGCATTTTTCTAAATATAAAAATGAACTATACAGTGAAATCAGTTTAAGGTAACACTAACATTATACAACATAGTCTCTGCCTCAACTCCTGTTTATGAAATGCTGATTTTGAGCTGCTGGTTTATTTCCAAAAGAAAAACAGCTTTAATCAGAAACCATCCGGTTTTTCATGGAAACACTAAAGAAATGTACCTGCTTGCTTAGCAGTTGCTGAATCAGAGCTGAGTCCCTCATGGGCATCAGTAGTGGCAACAGCTGGCTCTCACCCTGAGCCTGCGGGGCAGCCCCACGCACTCTGCATGTGTTGACTCATGTTTACAGCAACATCCCTGTGGGCATGGTCATCCCCTTAACCTGCCCCGGGCACAGACCTGACTCCAGGAGGCAGACTTCTTCCTCACACTGCTGCCTCTCATGTTCCTTTAAGGGTGTCTGGAATTAGGGGAAGAAAATGGACCAAAATGGATGTCACTGAAAATGAGAGTGGCTGGACTGCTTATTGGTTTTAGTTAAAAGAACAACAACGACATCACTCAAATCTGACGTGCTAGGCTGGTGAGAGCAGATTAAAAACCCGGCGTCATGCTGCAGCAGGAGAGGCATGGCGAAGAGGTGAGGCCTTGGCTCCCGGAGAGGAGGCCAGCTGTGCCTGGGGCCTCAGGACCTGCCTGTGGAGAAAGCACATCTCTGTGGGGTTTAAAATCCCCGCCTTTTTATACAAACCACTCTATCAGACAAAGCCAGTGGAAAGCATGAAACCAGAAACGCCTGCTCTTATGAGAGGAGGAATTGGCAAGTGGGGCCCATTTCATTTCAGATTGAGCTGTTGCTTTGATACAGCTGGTGAGCATTACAGCTGGAGCCTTGCTTCTCCAGAGTTCTGGGGAAGCGAAGCTCTGGCTGGGGTGTTCAGAGCAGGGTTTCTCCACCTTGGCTCTGTTGACACTCTGGGCCACCTTCTTGAGGTGGGCCGTCCTGTGTGTGGTAGGAAGTTTAAGCAGCATCTCTGACCACCACTGTCTATACCGACATGTGCCAATAGCACCCCCTGCCATCGTAAGCATCCCTGCTGTCTCACACCTGCCCAGATACCCTCTGAGGGGCAGAATCACCCCTGGTTGAGAACAGGTGGTCCAGAGGAGACACTTTCCTCTTTTTGTAATCAGGAATCAGCAGATAGGCTGGAAGAGGTGTATGAGGCAGGTGTGCAGTGCATAGTTTGGGAGTGACCTGATTCTGTTCTCCGGTTCCTTCTCCTCGCCCTACTGCTGCACAGGCTCCTCATCAGATCCCCTTCCTGATTATCTGCACGGTCCTGAGCAAAAGTCCCCCCAGCTCTCCTACCTCCATCAGGGATTTGTAGGTGATTCCTGCTGCCCAGGAGGACCTTCGATGGTACAGGTCACAAAGGAAATTAGATTTAGAAAATGGAAAATTCATCCAAAAATAACATGAGTCACACCTTGGTTTTGTCTGGCACTTTTTACTTTCCTGAGTAAGAGAGTTGCCCCATCAACTCATTTGAGCCTTTGGATGAGGGACAGAAAATCCAGGTGTCTTCTCCTCCCCATTTGGCAGTGGACCCACTGCTGCCACTCTTGGTGAAGCTTTGGGTCCAGAACCCACGTTCCTGACCAGGAGCCAGCACCTCCCCCCCCCCAGTTACAACCTTAGTTCCTCAGAGGTTTGGAGAGACTGGCCTTCACATCTTTCTGCTTTGGTAGCCCAGCTCATCCAGCCATTAAGTTTTTTATAGTTATTATTATTTTTTTTATATATGGAGCCTCGCTCTGTCACCCAGGCTGGAGTGCAGTGGCACAGTCTCGGCTCACTGCAACCTCTGTCTCCCAGGTTCAAGCGATTCTCCTGCCTCAGCCTCCCAAGTAGCTGGGATTACAGGTGTGTGCCACCACGCCTGGTTAAGTTTTTGTATTTTTAGTTGAGGCGGGATTTTGCCCGCTTGACCAGGCTAGTCTCGAACTCCTGACCTCAGGAGATCCTCCCGCCTTGGCTTCCCAAAGTGCTGGGATTATAGATGTGAACCACCGTGTCTGGCCTAAAATTTTTTTAATGTAATAGCTCTGGTATATTCGTATGAACTTCGTAGACTCAGGTACACATATCCTAATACAAACTCCCTCCCTTCCTCAACTGGATGGTAGCTGGCAGAACCTGGTGCTAAGTCTGTCTCAGTTTCCTTCACTAGAAACAAAGAGAATGAAGTCATGGCTCCCTGTGTTCCAGTGTTACAGGCCTATGGGAACACCCTCTCCTTTTGCTTAAATGAGGTTAATAAATGAAGGCCGGGTGCAGCGGCTCACGCCTGTAATCCCAGCACTTTGGGAGGCCGAGGCAGGCGGATCATCTGAGGTCAGGAGTTCAAGACCAGCCTGACAAACATGGTGAAACCCCATCTCTACTAAAAATACAAAATAAGCTGGGTGTGGTGGCACATGCCTGTAATCCCAGCTATTCAAGAGGCTGAGGCAGGAGAATTGCTTGAACCCGGGAGGTGGAGGTTGCAGTGAGCCGAGAACGCACCACTACACTCCAGCCTGGGCAACAGAGCAAAACTCTGTCTCAAAATAAATTTTTTTTAAAAGAAAAAATAAATGATACCAGGGCCTGTAGGAAGAGGTCTGATGAAGGGAAGGAGCCTGTGTAGTACATTTGGAGAGATGCCACGTTGCTAGGGCAGCAACACTAGCTTCGGGGTCAGCTTGCCTTCTGGTCTCTGTTCCCCACTTAGGAGTTTTATGATCTTGAACAAGCATTCTTTTCTTCCCCCCCCCGCCCCCAATCTTTTTATTGTGGTATAATAAAATTTACCATTGTAACTTTCTTTTTTTGAGATGGAGTCTCACTCTGTCACCCAGGCTGGAGTGCAGTGATGTGATCTCAGCTCACTGCAACCTCCGCCTCCCAGGTTCAAACGATTGTCCTGCCTCAGCCTCCCAAGTAGCTGGGATTACAGGCACCTGCCACCATGCCCAGCTAATTTTTGTGTTTTATTAGAGACAAGGTTTCACCATGTTGGTCAGGCTGGTCTCGAACTCTTGACCTCAAGCAACACCCCACCTCCCACCTCCACCTCCCAAAATGCTGGGATTACAGGTGTGAGCCACCACACCCAGCCCATTGTAACTATTTTTAAGTGTGTGGTTCATACTGTTGTATAACCATCACTACCATCCATCTTTGAAACTTTTTTCATTTTGCAAAACCGAACCTTTGCACCCATTAAACAATAATTTCCTATTTCCTTCTTTCCCAACCCCTGGCACCCACCATTCTACTTTCCGTCTCCATGAATTGGACTACCCCAGGTATCTCATATACGTGGAATTACATCCTACGTGTCCTTTATGGCTGGCTTATTTCACTTAGCATAGTGTCCTCAGGGCTTATCCATGTTGCAGCATTTGTCAGATTTCCTTCCTTTTCCAGTCTGAATGTCCATTGTGTGTAGATAGTGCGGTTTGGTTGCTTCCACTTTCTGGCTCTTGTGAATAATGCTGCTGTGAACACTGGTGCATCTGTTCAAGTCCTTAAGGTTTCGAGGAACCTCCCTGCTGTTTTCCACAGAGACTGCACCATTTTACATTCTGACCAGCGGTGCACAAGTGTTCGAATTTCCCCACTTCCTCACCAACACTTGTTACTTTGTTTTTATTTTTCATTTTTCTAATTTATTCCTAATTATTTCTAATAGTCATCCTCTATGAGATGAGGATGGGTATCTCGTTTGTTGAAAAGACATACCCAATGGCGATTTCTCATCTGTTAAAAATGATCCTCTCCCCATTGAATGGTCTTGGCACGCTTGCTGGAAATTATTTGATTGGGCCAGGAGCGGGTGGCTCACGCCTGTAATTCCAGCACTTTGGCAGGGTCACTTGAGGCCAGAAGCTCCAAACCAGCCTGGGCAACAGCAAGACCACGTCTGTGCAAAAATAAATAAATAAATAAACATAATTTTTTTTGGTCACCCAGGCTGGAGTGCAGTGGCACAATCATGACTCACTGGCACCCCTGACCTCCTGGACTCAAGCCATCCTCCCATCTCAGCCCCCTCCCCAAGTAGCTGGGACTACAGGCACACATAATCCAAGCTAATGGTTTAATTTTTTGTAGAGATAGGGTCTTGCTGTGTTGCACGTCTGGTCTTGAACTGGTTCCAAACGATTCTCCCACCTCAGCCCCCTACAGTGCTGAGATCATAGGCGTGACCGTGCCCAGCCAGTTTTCTCTATTTTTCTATTCTCTGTTTTGTTTATCTCTGCTCTAAATCTTTATTGTTTGCTCCTGCTAGCTTTAGATTTACTTCTTTTTTCTAGTTCCTTAAGGTAAAGTTTAGGTTGTTGATTAGAGAGGTCTTTTTTAATGTAAGCATTTATAACTCTAAATTTCCCTCTTCAGCGCTGCTTTGCTGCATCCCCCAAAATTGTCTTTTCATTTTCATTTGTCTCAAGATGTTTTCTAAGGCCAGGTGCGGTGGCTCATGCTAGTAATCCCAGCACTTTGGGAGGCCGAGGCAGGAGGATCACTTGAGCCCAGGAGTTCAAGACCAGTCCGGTCAACATGGCAAAACCCCATCATACAAAATACAAAAATTAGCTGGGCATGGTGGCGTGCACCTGTGGCCCCAGCTAGTCAGGAAGCTAAGGTGGGAGGATCACTGATCCTGGAAGGTCGAGGCTGCAGTAAGCTGAGGTTGTGCCACTGCACTCCAGCCGGGGCTTCCAAGTGAGACCCTGTCTCAAAAAAAAATAAAATTCTGTTTTAAATATGTTTTCTAGTTTACCTTATGACCTCTTCTTTACTTATTGGTTGTTTAAGAATATGTTACTCAGTTTTTACAAATTTATGAATGTTTTAGTTTTCCTTCTATTATTGATTTCTTTCTTCATCCCATTATGGTTGGAGAAGATACTTTGGTATCTTTTTAAATCTATTGAAACTTAATGTGTGATTTAACATGTGGTCTATCCTGGAGAATAGGATAAACCATAACCATATGTTAAATCACACATTAAGTTTCAATAGATTTGAAACTTGACGTATCCTTTGAGAAGGACGTGTGTTCTGTTGTTGAGTTTCACATACATCTGTTAGATCAAGTTGGTTTAGGGTTAAGTCCTCTATTTGCTTGCTTATCATCTGGCTGGTTCTTTTATCCATTATTGAGGGTGGGGTATCGAAGTCTTACCTCCAGAAGCTTTTTTGATGCCAAGTCTGTTTTGTCTGATGTTAGTATAGCCAGCCTTGCTCTCTTTGACTACTGTTCCATGGAATATCTTTTTATATCCTTTCATTTTCAATCCATTTATGTCTGTGGATCTGAAGTGAATTTCTTACAGACAGCATATCATTGGATCAAATGTTTATCCATTCCACCCATTTCTATCTTTTGATTGAAGAGTTTAATCCATTTACATTTAAAGTACTGCCAGGCATGGTGTCACACGCCTGTACTCCCAGCTACTCAAGAAGCTAAAGGTGTGAAGATTAGAGGATTTGCCCTCTGACCTTGGCCCAGCCACTTCACCCCTGTGGAGCGGGGTTCTCACCCTACTTTTCCCCTGGCTCTGATGGAGCCTTTGGGCTGCAGTCGCCCTTGAGATGAATGGCCCTGCCCCCGTATCCCTTCCTCCATGAGCTGCTGCGGCCCACCTAGTTGTGACACCTGGTGGTGGTCTTGTAATTGCCCACTGCTTTTCCCTCTCCTCCTCTGTGTCGCTCTGTGTCCCTAGCACCTGGCAGATGCATTGGATGAGCAGCAGGCACTCAGAACATGTTTTTATAATGAATTCCTCAACCAAGGGAACGAAGGGACTTGCTGTTTTCTTACTGTCACCTGGGATTCTTTTTCCTGTCTACTTTCTGACTGCTTTTCTTCCTGCTAATTCAGTTTCATCTTCTCTTTTCAGATGAAGTTACTAAACTTATATATCAAGAGGGCCCAGACCACCAACAGCAACAGCAGCTCCTCCTCCGATGTCTCCACGCACAGCTAATGGCAGCACCTGTCTCTTGTGTAGACCTAGAAGCAATCGGTGGTGCCTCTCAGAGACCTCTCCCCACCCCCTTCATCGGCTGCCCTGTCAGTACAAGGAGGCCCACAAATATTTATTACAATCAGTATTTTGGTCCCTTCCAGCTTTTCTGTAGAATCTTACTGGTATTGAATGTAAAGGAAGCAAGGCCTGTATTGCAGTCTTCATACAAAATGAAAGGAGTAAGAACAGAAAAGAGCCATGCTGAAACATGTCTTGTGCAGCCTGCTGCGATGGCGAAACCATGTGTGTGGGGTGCAGCTTTTAAAAATCAGAGCGCTGGAGCCACTACTTGGTAGAAAGTAGCATTTTTTTTTTTTTTCCAGTTAATAACGGATTTGGGGGTGGGGTGGGATGTTACTTTGTGTTCCTCCTCCTTAGCCTATTTTCTTGTGAGTATGGTCTGTGTGGGGCCCCTTTCACAGCTGACACCATGAAAGGTGACACATCTTTAAGTTGTGTTCTGAGACCTACTAAAAATGGGAATCAAGTCTTGGCAAGAACGGTCTGAAGATGGCCTTTTAACAAACGCTAGGAATTTTTCTTGTCATATCCGGACTGGAGGCCGACTGCCCTGGCTTTCAGCATAGAATTGGGAGTGCACCCCAGCAGTCTCCTTCCAGCCCTCCCTAATCAACTCCACAGACAAGGTCCTCACCCCAGAGCTTCCATGCAAAGGAATTCTTCAAATTTAAATCTGGACACAAAAATAAGATAAATGTATGGCATCATGTAGGGATGCCTGAGATGGCAGTTCGTGAAGCACAGAAGATAAAAGAGAAGTCTTTCATCTTTACTGCTGAGATCCTTGGGAACACTGTTGTCATGGGGGTTCTGCCAAGATCCACATCCCTGGGCTACTTGGTGATTCCGATTTAGCAGCAACCTCTTTCCTCTCCCCGAAGTTCTGCTGAAGCTGTTCAGTTCTAACATGGTCTCAGTTAATCTGGTAAATGCCATCTTTACCATCTTAGTTCTGACTTCTCCATTTAATGTGGGATTAAGAGCAAAGAAAAGCCTAGAGAGACTGGATATCACAGTTTTCTTAATGTTATAAACCGAAGTCGTTCCTTGAATGTCTGTTGATGAAATAGTCACTGTTTAAGGAAAATAATTATGAGGTGTAGCAGATTGCAGAAAAACAGGATTAGAAACACACTTAAAAAGAACACACGTTTAGAGTCTGTCTTCCTCCTCAAGGAACCACTACCCCCTTTTACACACACCTTTAGAGCCTGATTACTCCAATAAAAGCAACTAGAGGTTTGCAGTCGGTTTAAATAAATTTTGACTAAAATTCTTAAGCCAAATGGAAATTCTTAATGCAATCATGAGGACTTCTATTGTCTCTTCCTGTTGTATTAGATCCTATAAATTGAACTGATTTTTCCATAAGGAAAACGCTTTTGAGATTAATTCTAATAATGTATTTGCTATTCCAGTGCAGAGCCCACTGCAACTGCTAGGACTGAAAGCAGACGCTGGGTGCCAGAGCACGTGGTTCTCACCATCATTTCCACAGACCCCTCTGCCCTGACCCTCCAGATTGGATGTAGGAAGCTGGGAAAGACTGATGTTGTATTTGGAAACATGCGCTGAAAATGAAGGCCTCATAATGTGTAGGAACAGTGAAGCCAGGGTGCTGACCGTGTGTGTGTGTGTTGTGTGGGGCGTGTGGTGTGTGTGTGGCGTGTGGTGTGTGTGTGTTTGTGCGTGCACCCTACACGTGTGGTACCTCACTGCTGCTGTTTAGGGAACTTGAGGGATGCATTTCAAGGGGTTGGGTATTCCTGACTAGCTTTGGCTTAAAATATAGCAGGACCAGGTCTTTTGTTGATAAATACTGTTGGTTTATTAAAATGTCATGAATGGTATTTCTTTTTTACACTCTACAAGTGAATTAGGGAGTCTTCTGTTGACGCGTCTGTTGTAGGAATGTGCGTCGGGCCAGGTTATCCGTGAGTGTCTTTATGCCTCATGCAGTTAGACAGACCTTTCTCCTTGAGCTCTTTGACTCCAGAAGGCCCTGCAGTCCCCGGTGTACTGAGAAAGGATCTTGAACATCGCTGGACGTCCTCATAGTACTCACAAAGGGCTAGCCTTGAATGTCACTTGCCCAGTCTTCAGTCTCCTGACAAAGAGAGATACAATCATGTCACAGGTCTCTTGGCCTCAATCTGAAAACTGCTGCCGCCGCGCCGAGGAGACTCGCATGCCGCCACCACCTCACTGGGAGGGCGCCGAGCCCACCGTCGCCCCCTAGACCCTGACAGCTGCAGCTGCCTTGCCTTGCCGCCGCCTCCCTGCAGGGCCCCTGTTCCAATGAAAAACAGAACACACAAGAGCAGAGCACCTAGGCCTGTCTCTGCCTCCCCGTCTACCTGACTGGCCAGGGCCTGAGAGCCCTGCTGCTCCACTGCGGGGCCGGGAGGGCTGACTCCCTGCTTCCTCCAAGCTGCTGCCTCCCCTGCAGCCAGGGTCTGGGCAGGGTGCGGCCAGTCCTTGGGGCACGCAGCTTCCTTCAAGTGCACTGTGTGTGCTTTCCGGACCTGCGGCGATGCCGCGGGCCTGCCTTTTCTACGCGCCTCACTAGCTTACCACCCTGTGCAGGTAATGCAACTGACTTTGTCTCATCAGCCTTTTTCTTTCCCTGCCACCCTTTATTTATCAAGCATAATGTTACACTTTAAAGGACAGCAAATAAGAACTTTGTAGAATCCCACCAGGACTTTGCTAACAATAATGTTTGGAAATAAAGAAATGCTCTGAAAAATATCAGCCACCAAAATAGTTTTGTTGGCACTGTGTTCACACGCATGGTCCCCACATCCCCAGGTTGGGTGGGTTTTTTGGGGTTTTTTTTTTTTTGGTATTTTTTTGTTTTTGGGCTTTTTCATGTTACATCCATATCTGTATTTATATCTTATTTGTTTCACTTTCAAGTGTATCATGGCAAATGTACAGATTTTTTTTGTTAATAATGTGCTAGGATTTGCTAAAAAAGAAAACAAACAAAAAAAAAACCCTTTTGAGTTTGCCCTAGAATAAATGAGACTTAATTCAATGTTCTGCTTGATGATGTCTTTATCACCGCCATGCGCTGCAGATAGCTGGTCCCCTCCCCCTGCCACCAGAACACAGCCATTTCTATAAAGGATCTGGGAGGACTCATACATCAGGAGAGCTTCTTCCCCTCGTGACATCAAGAGGTCAACCTGTGTGATTCCACCATTCTGGGAGGCCGAGGCGGGCGGATCACTTGAGCTCAGGAGTTTAAGACCAGCCTGGGCAACATGGCAAAACCCCGTCTCTACTAAAAATACAAAAATTAGCTGGGTGTGGTGGTGTGCCTGTAATCCCAGCTACCCAGGAGGCTGAGGTGGGAGAATCACTTGAGCCCGGGAGGCAGAGGCTACAATAAGCCGAGATCGCGTCACTGCACTCCAGCCTGGGTGACAGAGTGATACTCCATCTGAAAAAAATATAAATATATTTTTTTATTTAAAAAGGTCAACCTGGGGAAATGTCACACTTGATGGAGTCGCCTGGGAGCGGGTTGCTGTGCCGTGTGTGCAGTGACAAGGTGGGAGATGAGACGCATGGGCTGGAATCCCAGCCACGCTCCCAGAGGCCGTGAGCAGGGGCCTCCCTCATTGGCTCCGTTTCCTCCACTGAGCAGTGAGAACAGTAGCTCCCGGAAAAGGTGGAAGCAGGAGGAAGCCTCAGCCTCGAATCCTGAGATGAGCTGGAGAGCCGCTGAGAGCAGCCGGGCTCCCCTGCGTGCCTGCAGTTCTTCTCTGCCGCTCACAGGGGCCTGGAGCAGGCTGGGCAGGGCAGGAGCGGAGCCTCTGGGAGCCAATGCACATCACGGTCTCCACAGCCACTTCTTTGAAGCCCTTTTTTCCTTCAATTCTTAAAATTGTGGCAAGATACACATAACACAAGATTTACCATCTTCACCATTTGTAAGTGCGCTGTTCAGCGGTGGTAAATATATTCAGGTCATTGTGCAACCATCATCATGGTGTTCTGGAATCCCTCTATAGGGCTCTCAGCTAGTGAAACAAACCCTGTCCCCATGAAGCGTAACTTCTCCATTCCTCCCTCCCGCCAGCTCCTTGGCAACCAGCATCCTACTTTCTGTCTCTCTGAATTTGACTATTCTGGGCACCTCGCATAAGTGGATCACACAGTATTTGGCTTTCTGTGACTGGCTTATTTTGCGTAACATGTCAACGTTCATCCATGTTGTATGTATCAGAATTTATTTTTTTAATTTTTCTTTAAACACATGTTCACCTGCATTTTTTCACATTTTTAATTTCCTTCCTAAGGCTGAATAATATTCTATTGTATGGATAGATCACATTTTGAAGCTTTACTTTTTACTAAAAAGTTGTTTTCCATCGTGTTCCATGATACATCCTGAGTGCCGCTATCCAAGGACTCTGTGCTCCTTTCTCCTGTGGCCCACCACCTTGCACCCCTGCCTGAGACGCCACAGCGTGCTCCGGATCGCAGATACGTGGATTGGAATCCCAGCTCCACCCCTGCCCGCCTTGGGCAGGTCATTTCCTGCCTCAGTCTTTTCATTTATGAATTGGGTTAAGAACTGCCTGGCTGTGTTCAAAACTATAGAAAAAAATAAAAAATAACTGCCTAGCAGAGGTGCCATGAGAGTTCATGGAGATGATGTAAGTGAAGCAGCTGGCCTGAAGTAAATGCTTCCGATGGTCACCTGCCCTGCCTCCTGTGGACCCGGAAATGCACAAGAGGGTGATGTCACCCCCCTTCCCTCCCCACAGGCACACCTGCGTGTGCAGAGCCCATTATTCATTAGCGAAAGAGACACCCCGGGGGGTGGGACCAGGTTCAGGCACAGCAGCCTGTTCAGCTTTCTGTCTGTGGTTCTCCAACCCTGGTGCCATTGCCCTGCCTTACCAAAGGCTGCCAGGAAGTCCTTGCCATTTTTCAGAGGGTCACAGGCCACCCGTGAAGAGTGGGGTACTGAGGCTCTTAGCATTCCTGACTGACGAAGTTCACACTTTGCAAGATTCTGGTCTGTAGCATCTTGCTGATTTTCACAGCAGTCCTGAAATGCCATCGAAGGACACACTGTCATGTTCGGTTTCCAAATGAGGAAACAGGCACAGGAGGAGCCCCGGCTAAACAGTGACTGATGGAGTTGGGGCCAGGCCCCGCTCTGCTTCTGGTCTGGCAGTGCTCCCCCACCCTCGTCAGGCGTCGCACCCTTCCATCTCCCCTGGAGTTACCAGGACTCTCCTCAGAGTGCACCTCAGAACCCCTGGGGCCTTGTGAAGCCGATCATGGCCGGCGTGCGCTGCTGACCCAGTGGGGCTGGGGCAGCCTGAAAACGTGCATCTCCACAGAGCGCGCAGGCAATGCCGCCCCTACAGGGCTGGGGACCCCACTGGGGGTACCGCTGTAGAGCATTTTGCTTACAATGTGACAGGTGGTTTGACCCCAAAGTTGGGGACGATCCCGCAGGCTGTGGCTGAAAACAAGGCATGGCGTCAGGAATGTCAGGCCATCCCTGTCATTACAGGTAAGTATAGTGACCAGCTAACTCAGCACGGGAAGACCAGGACTTCTGAAAGTGAAATGGGATGCCGTTAGCAGATGAGACCATGAGGGCCTAGGCCGCCTGGGCCAGAGCTCCCTCCTCAGGGCACAGCTCTTCCCCCGCAGGCTCGGCCCACCTCCTCCAGTATTTATTAACTCACTGCAGCGGCTCCAGGCAGGAACGGACAAAGGTCGTGTGAATGGGTGTCTCATCCCAGCTACGGATTTAAAAGACATTAAAATGCCTCGTGCTGTGCCCTCCTCAGCTGCAGGGGCCCGGCCTCCAGGTGGACTTGCCGGGCCCTGGAGCCCCGGGAGACACAGTGTTCCTGGGTCACTTCCCAGCAGCTCCGGGATGCCCTGCCTCCCCCGTGCCCTGCCGAGGGAACAGTCTGGGTGGGGCGGGCAGTGTGGCCTCCTACAGCGGTGGTTCGGGCTCTGCACCACCGTGGCCTCTGCTCCCCCACCGTGAGGACTTGGAAGGGTCCAGAGGTATGTCCAGGGCCAGCACCCAGGCCATGCCTCTCCTCTGGTCTTCTGCTTTCCTGTCTGCTGTCCTGCCATTCCCATTGGACACTTGCTCATTCTTCAGTGGGGACAAGAGCTGGGACCTGTGAGTGCTTACTACTGCCAAGCTGGCCGGGTGCAGTGGCTCATGCCTGTCATCCCAGCACTTTCGGAGGCTGAGGCGGGAAGATCAATTGAACCCAGGAATTCAAGACCGGTGTGGGTAACAGAGGGAGACCCCCGTCTCCACAAAAAGTTTTACAAATTAGCTGGGTGTAATGGCAAATACCTGAAGTCCCAGCTACTCAGGAGGTGGAGGCGGGGGGATCGCTTGAGCCCAGGAGATCGAGGCTGCAGCGAACCTTGACTGCACCATTGCTCTCCAGCCTGGGTGACAGCGAGAGACCCTCTTTCAAAATGACAAAACAGAAACCAAACTCTGTTCCGATGCTGTGCTGAGCTTTCTGATGTAATCCTCACAACAGCCGCATGAGGCAGTTCCTATGATAATTCCCATTTTGTACATGGGAAACAGTGGCACGGAGACTCTCAGTAACTCACCTGGGGTCACAGGTCTCTCTCGTAAGGGAACTGGGATTCAAACCCAGGAAGTCTAGCTCTAGACTCAACCGGAGCCTTTTGCTTTGTAACTCTGTCCCTTCCCTGAGCCTCTGTTCCATTCCCATCCACCTGACTCTTGTTAGCAAGTTCAGGTGGGCCGTGGCCACAGGCAGGCCCGCCCAGCGTTTGACACCAAGCTCATGGTAAACATCTCCACAGCACTGCCCGGGGACTGCTCACTGGGCCTGGGGCGGGGGAAGGCCCACCTGGGTGCTGGAATCTGAGGCTTAAATCCAATCCTGAGTGTTTTGAAACCTGTGACTTTAGCCAAATGACTCCAGCTTATGACGACCTCGGTTTCTTCCTCTGTAAAACCCTAGGAGATGGGAATTGGGGAGGTAGGGCTGGGGTGTGAGGGTGTGAGGATTAGCGCACTGTGTTCAAGTCCCTGACACCCTTCCAGAAGCCTGAGCAAATGTCAGCCATCATAATTCCTGTATTATTACTATCCTCGAGGTCCCTGCCCCCGTTTCTGACACGTGACGCTCAACAAAGGTCTGGACAAATGAACAACCGATGTAAAGTCTCTGCCCCATCACCCCCCAGTCCACGTGAAAGATTCACACGACAACTGTGGGCTTTCAGGCGCCTTTCCCTACCTCGGGGGATGATGGGGCTGGGGACAGGACGGGGCCAGCATCCCCTCCCATTCACCCCTCACCCCCTACGCCTGCCGGGAGCCTCCTCCACGCTGCCCTGGGCTCCTCAAACCTAGCGCAGCCCGGCCCGGCTTCCCTGCCCGTCTCCCACTGCTTGCTGCTCTCTAGTCTGTGGATGCTGATGCCAGGCTCTCCCCACCCTGCACTCCCCCTTCAGCACCCCCACAGCCCCCCGCAACCCACCTCCCATTGCACAGATGCTGCTGGGACCCTCTCCTACCTGGCCCTTCACTCCCAACTCCCTACATCCTCCACCCCTTCTATCCTCTTCCCCAAAGCTGCATGGCTGCTGGGTTTTTCTTTTGTATTTGTATTTTTTGTTTGTTTGTTTTGTATTTATTATTTTGAGATGGAGTCTCCGCCCAGGCTGGAGTGCAGTGGCGCGATCTCAGCTCACTGCAACCTCCTCCTCCTGGGTTCAAGCCATTCTCCTGCCTCAGCCTCCCCTGTAAGCTGGGACTACAGGCATGTGCCACCACGTCCGGCATGTATTTTTAGTAGAGATGGGGTTTCACCGGATTAGCCAGGATGCTCTTGATCTCCTGACCTCGTGATCCGCCCGCCCCAGCCTCCCAAGGCGCTGGGATCACAGGCATGAGCCACCGTGCCCAGCCTTTGTTTTTTGTCTTTTAGAGACAGGGTCTCACTCTGTTGTCCAGGTTGGAGTGCAGTGGCGCCATCATGGCTCACTGAA